TTCTGTGTGGAAAAGTTTCAGTGCGCCGCAAACGCTTCTGTGTGTATAACTTCCTGTGTGTAAACGCGTCTGTGCGTAAAAGTTTTTGTGTGTAAATCTCCTTTGTGTAAGAAGGACTTCTCTGTGTAAAAGCTCCTCTGTGTAAAGACTTCTCTGTGTAAAAGACTTCACTTTGTAAAAGCCTCTGTGTGTACAAGCTTGTCTGTGTCAAGACTTCTCTGTGCAAAGACATCTCTATGTAAAAGCTACTCTGCGTAAAAGCTTGTGCGCGTGGAGGCTAAACGCATCGGTGTGTAAACACTCCTGCGTAAACGCGTCTGTGACCGTCTGTGTGTAAAAGCTTCTGTGCGTAAGAGTTTCTGTGTAAACGCTTTTGGTGTAAAAACTTCTGTGTGTAAACGCTTTCCCGTGTAAAAGCTTCTGCGTGTAAAAGATTCTGTGTGTAAAGCTCCTCTGTGTGTAAGTGTAAACGTTTCTGTGTGTAAAAGCTGCCCCGTGTAAAAGTTTCTTTGTGTCAAAGCGTCTGTGTGTAAAAGCTCCTCAGCTCCTCTGTGTGTACAAGCTTCTCTGTCTAAAAGCTCGTCTGTGTAAAGCCTTCTCTGTGTCAAAGCCTCTGCGTGTACAAGCTTTTCCGTGTAAAAGCTACTCTGTGTAAAAGCTGCTCTGTGTAAAAGGCTTCTCTGTGTAAAAGCCTCTGTGTGTGCAAACTTTGCTGTGTCAAGACTACTCAGTATAAAGACTTCTCTGTGTAAAAGCTTCTGTGTGTAAAGCCTTTCCAGTGTAAAAGTTTCTCTGTGTAAAAGACTCTGTGTAAAAGACTCTGTGTGTAAAGTCCTCCCTGTGTACAAGCTTCTCTGTGTAAAAGATCCTCCGTGTAAAGCTCCTCTGTGTAAAGCTCCTCCGTGTAAAACCCGTGCCAAACCCGTGCCACCAGCTCCACATTTTCAGTGCCGCTCCCTCCCCGCAGAGCTCCTCCCAAGCTATTTCCCCACCTCTTGGGTTATCGTTTAGTTTGCTTCGCTGCAAAGGGAGCGAAAACTTAGCATCGACGGACAGAACGCCGTGCAAAATGAAAACCCCTCCAGCAAAGAACTTTTTCCCATGCATGTCCGGCATGTTCCTTTGCCCAGCGTTTAGACACCGTTTAAGAAGTCTTTGGCACCAGTTTTTCGGGACAATCGCGTTGATGGAATTTGTCCTGAAAAATCCGTGCCAACAGCTCTGCTCTTTTAGTTTCCCTCCCTGCCAACGAAGCTATGCATGTCCCATGGCCCAGGGTTTGGAAACTTTGGCAGGTCTTGGGCGTGCAGTTTTTCGGAACAATTGTATTGTATTGATGAAATTTGTCCTGAAAAACCCGTGCCAACAGCTGTGCATTTTTAGCGTCCCCCTCCCTACCAACGAAGCTATGCATGTCCCATCGCCCAACGATTGCAAACCACTTGAAAAGTCATGGGCGCACAGTTTTTCAGGACAATCGCATTGATGGAACTTGTCCTGAAACCCGTGCCAGCTCTGCTTCTCAGTATGCCGTGTCCTCCCAACGGAGCAAGC